CCCCCCTCGCCCACCGCCCCCTGCCGCAGCCTCACTCAGATGATGTTCCACAAGATTGACCCCCAGAGCCTCACAAGGGTACAAGGGGGATGGGAAACTGCTTGGGAGGGGGGACTGGTGGGCAGGGACCCTCCCCAGCATCCCTTTTCTTGCTGCAGGGTGAGAGCCTGGGCCAGGGCTCCTTCACCCGCATCTACAAGGGCATCAGGAGGGACCAGGAGCAGGATGAGCCCCACGAGACCCCAGTGGTGCTCAAGGTCATGGACAGCACCCACAAAAACTGCACCGAGGTGAGGCTGGAGCAGCCCCCAGCCCCGAGGGGTGGGACCTCTGGAGGGGTCCTCACGGCTCTCCCTAAGCCCACCTCTCCCACTCCCAGTCCTTCCTGGAGGCCGCCAGCATCATGAGCCAGCTCTCCCACAAGCACCTGGTCCTGCTGCACGGTGTCAGCCTTGGGAAGGACAGTGAGTGACTGTCCCCACCCTGGGCACTGCCCTGCCATGGCCAGGGGGTCTGTGCCAAACCTGCCACCCTGTGCCCTCTGCAGGTATCATGGTGCAGGAGTATGTCAGGTATGGGCCCCTGGACCTCTACCTGAAGAAGAACCAAGGCGAGGGCAAGGTGAACACCAGCTGGAAGCTGCAGGTGGCCAAGCAGTTGGCCTATGCCCTCAACTACCTGGTGAGCCACAGTCAGCTCCTGTGTGGCCTCATCCCACCACTCCCCCATGTTCCCATGGCTCCCCCATCCCTTCCAGCTCCAGTGTGTCCATGTCCTGCAGCTCCTGTTCCTCTGCATCCTTCAGCTTCTGTCCATCCCTGTCCCGTTGCTCCCACACATCCATATCCTGTTATTCCCACACATCCCTGTCACACAGTCCCACTGCATCCACCTCCCTGCAGCTCCCACACATCCATTGGGGCTCACTGCAGCTCATCCCATCCCTGGGGCTGTGCTGAGGGTCCTGGTCCCTGTCCCCTCCCCAGGAGGACAAGAAGATCACCCACGGCAACGTCTCAGCTAAGAAGGTGCTGCTGACCAGGGAGGGGGATGTGGCCAGTGGCAGCCCCCCCTTCATCAAGCTCAACGACCCTGGTGTCAGTGTCACCATCCTGGCCAAGGACAGTAAGTGCTGGGGCAGGCCCAGGGTGCTGAGGGGGTTGGAGGCAGAGGGGACACC